CTGATTGTGTAATCTGAGAAAAGAGTGCATCAACTGTGAATTCAATCCTTTTTCTTTTTACAGTTGACAAAAGGAAATACTTTAGATATTGCATAAGCAAACAATATGATTTTCATTATGCAGATTGAATTGTAAGAGTGTATGGCCTTCAATAAATAGAACACTCTAACACCAATACTATAAGTGACATTGATAAAAGTAACAAGTTGTGGGTAACACTGCTCCCCAATTTTTGGAACTGTCAGTAAGTCAAATAATGATTTCCAAGAAGGCTATTCGTGTAATTATTTCTCAGCTTAAAAAAATAACACCCTGAATTATAAGCAAATAAACAGAAAAACCAAAACCTGTGTAAAAATTATTGTTGACTCAAAAGCTTGACAGTGAACAGCAAACTCAGTGGTATTATAGCCCCAATTCTCTTGATTGCTAGGATTCCCTTTGCAGAATGGTGGGGGGCGGGGGCCCACCAAGTCTCTGCCTAAATACCTCTGTCGATGGAAATTATGTAAACTTCCAAAGCAATTCAGTTTGTCTTTTAGTGAAAATTCACATTGAAATGTTACTAAGTTTGGGGTTTTTTTTACTTTTACTAGCATGGGGCATGCTAGTATAGGTTTTGCAACCATCACTTCCTTACCATTTTAAGTCTAATGGCAAACTTTCAACCTGCTACAGGTCTTATTATCATGCTTCTGAAAAGGTACTTGGGAGAATAAAGAGGCAGGCTTCAGGTTCTGAGATTTTCCTTAATGGCATTGTTGCTATAGTTACAGCTGAAATGTTATATAAAACAAATTGCTTATTGATGGAAAAATGCTGAGTACATAGCAGCATCCTTTTTCTGGGTTTTTATTGCCTTCATTTCCCACTCATCTCTTAAGATTAATGGATTTTTGAAGCGTTGTTTTGTTTTGAACAAGCCCTGATCATTTGGTGTTAAAATAAATGCATTTTATTAACATGTACTAGCTGACAAACGAATATGTTCTTGTGTATTGTGATCAAAGTGGAGTTACTTTAAAAAAACTTTTTAATATTGGAGTTGAACTTTGATGTATTTTAATATCACAACATTGAGTAAACATGTGATCTTTACTAGAACCTTCTGAATATATTTAATGCATTTAATAATATAGATGAAACATAAACTTTAATTGTTTTATACTATTAGGAGATAAGATACTATGAGTATACTAAAAATAAAATATATTTTAAAGACAGAAAAACAGATGGAAATGGTTGAGAGCATCCATGATGATGTCTGGTATGTTAAAAAGCCTATATAAGCATTTATATTTTGTAATTTTATGTATTAGACTAAGTAATATAATATAAATACATTCAGTATATATAAATTATATGTAATACCTTATATTATTTATAATGTATATTCATTTTTGATTGTGTCACTGTCTTTAATATTTCAAAGAGAAACTGTAACTTATTTGATATTTAAGACAAAATACGAATAGTAAATAGTCATGTGTTTCACAATTGCAACTGTTATATAAACAGTTAATGCTATGCCTGATTAAATCTTTTCAGCTAATAAAAGTCATATATGGGCAGTGATATATAAGGCATTGAATTCCTATATAATTTAGGGAATTTTGATTAATTTTATCTTCAGAATGCTACAAGACTAGTAACATTATGAGTATTTAATCTTGTGACTAAAAGTACAGATAACATTTTTTGGACCTGCATTTATAATAGTCCTTAATTAAATTCCAGACTGCATTGATAAAAATCTTTGGGATTATTTTTGGTAAAAAAATGCAAAAAAAATTTGTGAAGCACAGATTTTTACATCTTCTCATGTATTTATAGAGCATTTCCCACATTATTTTTGTGAGGCAGATTATTGTAGTAATTGTGTTTGTATTAATGATAATAAGATAATGACAATGACATTTATTGTCCATAATGAAATTTGATTTTTATTCGTGTTGCTTCATAGTGCTTTTTTCATTTCTACTTTTGATTTTACTTTAGCCTCTGACTTTTTCTACCCTCTCTCTTAATAAACAAAATTTAAATTTACATGTTTAAAGAAATATAAAAATTTTGGTGTTGCTATAGTCCCCCCTTTCAACTTCTTTTTGATATTATAACATTGTCTTCTGAATATCTTTGCATTCTAATTTTGATTCTAGGACTGCAGAAAGAAGAGACACATATATGAGACCACCTGTTCAGCATTTCTAATTGTCTGTAGAAAAAATACTCCTGTGGGACTTATAATTTATGAAATTTCTAATTTTCTAAATTGATTTTCAGACATTCTTGTTAAATCTATCACATACTTTTCATTTTCCTTATTTTTTTAAATATGTATGAAATTTATTTTTACCCACATCATAGTTGTTTTACTTTATGTGAGTTCCCTGGTGGAATAAGCCTTACAGATACACTTTTAAAATGATGCATGTACTCTATAGATATAAATGGAATATAAATATACAGAACAGATGCATAAATGAATTATGCTGTCATAATTATTTGACATACTAGTAACATCAGTTTCCAAATTAATTTTGGTGACGAAGTGCAAAGTCATAAGAATTAGGCTTTGCTTTGCACTCTCATTCAAAATGTCAGTCAGTCATACAACCAAGCATGTAAAGCAACATCATTTAAAAAATATTACAAAATAGAAATTAAAAGTTTTAGATTTAACTGAATATGTATCAGATTTTAAGCAAAACATGAATTTTAACTAGCCATTGAAACTCTAAGAATAATATTGTTTATTCTTCGGTTGGCACTATTGCCTTCTCTTTGCCTTGAGACTTTAGGTGGGTTATCATTGCTTGTATGTTATCAAGCATTATTTTAAATTGCGAGAATGAAGTGTTTTATTTGACATAATGGATTAAATAGATTATACCTTTTATCCTCTTATTTAAACTTTAAATATATGAAAATAATGAATATACTATACTGAAATAGTGACTATGTTTGTTTCTTCAACACATTTACCATTTAACAAGAGCTGTGTACCATTGTGGTATCGTATGCTATAATGCAGGAAATGAGAACTTTGTAAGAATAATTTGTCTCCAAAACTAATATAAAATAATTATACTTTTAAGATTGACAAAAATGTCCAATGGAATGAAACCTGTATTACAGGTATACTAAAAATTTTGTGATTTACATTAGACTATACCCTGGACTGAATTACATAACATACACCTGCATTTGGTTATTAGAATCCATTTGACAAAACAGCACAGTAATATGCTATTTGTGTCCATGTTTGTTTTAAAAAAATGTCAGCCTCTGAATGAAGACATCCTAAATGGGTCTCAACCAAGCAATGTTTTTTAAAACCATTGAACAGATTAAGACAGGTTTTCTGTAGATAATACGGGAGTACCTCCTCCTGGAACAATTCCACCCAAGGACTGGTGCTTTTAGTATTTGATATAAGGGATCAAATCAGTTTTCTTCCTAAGACTTTTATATAAAATTATTAAATAAAAAAGCCACATTTCACTTCAGAGCTGCTTAAGAAGGAATTAAGAAGGGAATTGGTACCGGGTGATCATAAACACAAAAAGCCAATTAATTCACCATACATACTAATGTTTTGTAGACAGCATTTTACTGAAGTTAAATAATTTAATTTTGTCTTTACTCTTTTAGATCAGCAAATAAGAATTATGACAACTTATGGATTTCAAGAGTCATTATTAAGCAACATTTTTTATGTCTTTAAAGAAATAGAAGCTATAGTAAGCAATGAAACATGTCTGATAGTATCTTAGAGCAGTAACTGATTTTTGTCTCTTAAGTAACTTAAGTTATGCAACTGAAAAAGTGATCTGTTATGAAAAGAGGTTTGAAATTGAACTTCCAGGAAGACAATGCAACATATGAATACAGTACTGTTTTGTATGACCCTTCCAACTGTGTACTTTACAGAATAAGTACTCATGAAGTTGTAACAATTATAAACTAAATTTATAGCCTTTACTTTTTATATTATAACAAGTATAATGTAAGAAAATCACAGCGTAGATCAGTAAGGGAAGAATTCTGCAATTCTATTAGTCTAACATAATCTCTCTCTCCCATGTAATTATTTGTATGTTATGAGAGAGTAGTTTTAAATCCTTAGTTTGCAAAAGAATTAACAACAATTTATTAAAAGGGCAGATCTTCCTTTTTCTAGAGTGGGATCCAGCTAAAATAGTTTTGGTGTAATTCCCAGGAATTTTGATGTCTAAGGACATTGTTTGGCACAGGTGCCCATGAATTACACTGAGGAACAGAGGTAGAAGGAGCAGTTTTCAGCAATTCAGAAAACTCTGGGGGACCAAGGAGTTTGAGTCTGTGAATGCTTCTTGCTCAATTGAATGAGAAGTGTTAATGTTATTAAAAATGAAATTTTTCTTTAACCTAAAGCCAGATAATTATGCCTACATGATTCTTGAAAACTCTCAATGTGTCTTGTAAAATTCTCCTGTAGTACATAGAGCTACATTTGACCCAAGACAGGAGATAGGCTAAATACTCCAAAAAGAAAAAAAGAAAAAAAGAAAAAAAGAAGAACACTTTCTGATTAATTGGTGATTAAATGAAAATTACAATAAAACTTAACAGCTTTTTGAATAAATGTATGTTGGATATACTAATTTTGAAGACAGCAGGCTTAAAAAGTTAGTTATATTTGGAATAAATGGAGATTTTTCATAAAAATAATAAAAGGGTATTTCTCTATGACCATCTGTAATGTTAAAGATTTGTTTTTCTTTTTTCTGTTGAAGAGAGTGAATTACTCATCTTTAAAGATTTCTTATATTTTTTATCTCAAATAGTCTTTTTGCAATCTTCTTTAAAAATCACTGTTTCATTGGTTTAGAAAACAGTGATCCCCCTTCTTCATATACAAAAAAGAACTAGATATTGCCAAGTTTTAACCATAGTAAATGCACTGGAATAAATGCATTATAATATAATTAATCTGTTCAATGCTGTTTTATTTGCAGATTCAAGAATGGCTTTGTTTAAATTGCCAGACCCAGAGAGCGATATCAGGACAGCTTGGCGACATAGGCAAAATGCCCCCTACACCATTAGGACCAAAAGCCTCTTCTACACCTGTTCCTACAGAACAATCACCTCAGAAAACAGCAACACCTGGACAAGTAAAAGTTAAAAAGAAGGAACAAGAAATAAAAACAAAAAGTGAAAAAATCATTCCAGAAAAAGTAAAAGAAACACCTGTCATTGAAAAAATGTCCCCTGAGGTAACCACAGATCAAAAACAAGAAGAGAGTAAACAAGAAAAAGTCAAAGTTTTAGCCCCTCAAGAAAAAAGGGCAGTCTCTGAAGAAAAAAAACCACTTTCAGAAGATAAAAAGCCAACCACTGAAGGAAAAAGGCCACCTCCTCAAGAAAAAAGGCCACCTCCTGAAGAAAAAAAGCTACCTCCTGAAGGAAAAAGGCCACCTCCTGAAGAAAAAAGGCCACCTCCTGAAGAAAAAAGGCCACCTTCTGAAGAGAAAGGACCACCTCCTGAAGAAAAAAAGCCCCCTCTTGAAGAAAAAATGCCACCTCCTGAAGAAAAAAGGCCACCTTCTGAAGAAAAAGGGCCACCTCCTGAAGAGAAAAGGCCACCTCTTGAAATTAAAAAGCCAACTTCTAAAGACCAAATGCCAACCCCTGAAGAAAAAAAGGTTCCCCCAGGAGCAAAAACATTAGCTCTAGAGGAGGAACAGAAACATGACTTTCTTAAAACTCACGTACAAATTGCTGAAGAAACGCTTGAAGGCAGAGTAGCTCCACAGGCAACCCAGGAGAAGAAACCATCACAGATGGAGAGGGAAGATTCAGCAACTGGGGTGCTTCAGACTTTGCCTGAGGAAGATGATGGGACAACTAAAAAAATAAAAGATCAACCACAGGCAGTTTGCACAGTAAAGCCTGATCAGGTGGAACCTGGGAAAGAAAAAACAGTAAGTTATATTTTCCTAACTTTGCACAGTCCACTGTCTTATGTATATAATTTACTAATTTATACCTAAGTATACTAGAATGCTTAATGTTAATTATATAAGTAAAGTTCTACAATTAAATGATGTTTTTATAAAAGTATAATAGATGTTTGTTAAAATGAAGAACTTTGGGTTTTTTTTGATAGCTTAATGTAGTTTAATAAAGCATAGACATAAATTTATTTTTCTAGCTTTTATGTCCATCAGATAATTCATCCAAATCCTGCAGCATGATGGTGAAGAGTTTCTTTCCAGTTTAAGTTATTCCTTTTTTTCTCTCTGCTATGAACATAAAATCAGTATCCTCCTTTAATATGAAATAATGTGTTTTAATATTTCTAATAATTTGTCCACTTGGTTAAATGAGTCAACAAGTTTCCCATTTAAAAACATTTTAGGCTGTGTTTAGCCATAAAATTATAAAACAGTGATTGGAAAAAAATGTGGAAAAGCTTAAGAATTGTCTTTTCTTAGTATTTAGTATGATATTAATGCATTATTTTCAGAGTTTTGTTCGATGTGTTTAAAGTTGTAGGGTTATTTATAATCCAAGAATAATCTGCAATAATATATTTTTCTTCTTCTTTAGTAGAAACTTTTGAGAGTGCCCCATCTTTTCCAATATTTTTACAAGCAATAATGTCATTTTTAGAAGAACTCTGATTTTTCATATTACAAAAGGTCTTACGATATATCTGGTTGACTAATTTTAATTCACAGATGATAGCAATGACTTGCAGGAAATGAAATGATGTATTAGTATTTAAAGTTAATATTAGAACTCTAATTAGAACCTATAACCATCCCGACCCTGGCTTAGTTGTTTTTTTTGTTATCGTGGTTTACATTTTTTAAAACTTGCTTACTAACCTACCTCTGGTATGCGATGCATACCTCATTAAATAAATTTTGATCTTCTTTTGCTATATAAATGCATTTATCACAGTCATAGAAAGCAGATGCCCATACATGTATTCTCTACTCGAATGGCTGGATCTAACCACTACCACCAGCACCAGCCCCAGCACCACTACCCCCCATAGCTTCTCTTAGCTAGCCACTTTTCAGACCGTGATGCTTTTTACCGTTTTTCCCTTTGAGGAACTGTCCTTGGTCATGACCTTTCCTTTATTGTTGTTCTTTCTTTGTCTTTCTCATCATTCCTTATGAGTTCTTTCATTAAGGCTATTACTTTTACTTTCCCAGTCTCCATAAAATGAGATTTTTTTCTTATTTTTCTTTGAGTTCTGTCTTCTTTCCTCTTAGTGGGTGGAGTCCCATGAACAGTTCCTAAATCCACCTGTGTACCTAGAGGCCCCTTGAATTGTCAGACCTGCATTTTCAAATACACAGTAGATCATCCCACTTCAAAGCCTCACTGTAAGCTGGAACTCACTATCAGCTGGAATTGTTTGTTAGAATATTGTCCACTTTTATAGAACCAGCTTCTGCTTCTGACTTTTCTATTTCCTATAATGGTATCATCATTCATACTGTCTCTTATTTTCTAGTCTGAGTAATCTGACGTCTCTTCTTACACACTCTTTGCTCCCCACATCCAATTTATCATACTCCTGTTCATGAGCTCCCACGCCTAAGGACACTATTCCACTTATGGCCTTCATGACCTTTTACCAATGATTTGAATAATCCTATTACTGGCCACTGTGCCTTCTGTTTCTCCCTTCTCCAGTGTATAGTTGCCAGATAATTATTTTCCAGGGTTCAGACAGTGTAACTCAGATACCTCTAATGTCTCTCTATTACTTGTTAAATATAATTTAACAAATGTGCCCTAATATTTTGTTAATGCACTGCTTATTATATTAATTTGTACTTTTATCATTTTCTATCATTTCCTTTTATTTTTTTACAACCTCAATATGTGTATCCTTATGGTATTTCTAAATTAAGTGTATTACTAAGTTGCTAACATTATTTACAATGTAAACTATTGACAAAAATAAAAATCAGTGAAATCAATGAGAAATGATCATTTTAGTTATTTAAGATTTATTTATCATTATATTTATTTAAATGCAGATATATTTGACCACATTAAAATATGATTAATGATAGGGTTTTATAGAGAGCATTGATTGAGCATACTTTAATATTTTAGAAATTCTGGGGCTGAAATTTTTTGATAGAGTTATTTGAAATTGAACTTCTAAGTTGAGTTGATTTTTGTATTTTGACATTTTGTTTTAATAACTATCATAACAAAAAATTAGAACCCACAAGGATATATCAGAAATGAATGAAGTAGATCAAAGATCATACTTGTCCAATCTTGCTATCTGTTTTCTAAGTTTAAAATTCAAAGCAAATTTTTTTCTTAATTGTAGAAATTCAACAAATAAGTGTTAATCTCCTGACACCAAACATCAGGAAATCAGATGTTTTTAAAATATTTTTTTAAACATATGGCCTTACAACCCACTAAAGTTTGTTATCTGGAAGATTTATAAACAATAAAATTATTGTCTTTAAAGTTTGTTAAATGAATAGAAATGACAGCTTTTAAAAGTAACATGTCATTTTACGTAGCATAATGACATAATTTCCAAATATCTGTCTTCAAAAGAGTGTTTTCACATAATTTTTTTAAGAAACAGCTATTGTTTATTTTTTCTTAATACCTGAAATGCAGCATATTACTAATAACCAGGGTTTAATTTTTTCCTAAATACCTAGTAAGTAGTATATTACTACAAACCAGTTGTCATCACCAAAAGATTGAGCAACTTTGGCATACTTCTACTTTTGTTTAAAAAGGATTAAATCTTTACGTTTATAGCTTTTCAAGTTAATTTCTTGTGATATAATCAATAAACCTATAAATTCATAGTTATTCTCTGTCATTACAAAATATAAAAGATTTTTTGAAATATAAAGGCCTCAGTGTAGAGCATGTACTATATCTGTAAAATCTTGGGGCACTTGATGCAATTCTAACTGACTTATAACAGATACAGGTAAATGAATTTCTTACATATTACTATGTCTATAGCCTTACTCTTAAAAAAAATTCCAAAGAGAAAAGCCACTCTTCAATATTTAATATGTAGTTTTTTCATTTAAAAATATATAAACACATATAACTTTATTAAACAAATCACTCACTATTGAGGTTGTCTTCATTGGTACATTATTTCTTAGTGTCTCACAATAGTAATTCTTTTAGGATTTTATTATTGAAATACATTGTTGAACATTATAAAGTGAGCATGTTAGAAATATCTACACTTTGCTTCTATTATTATGTAACCTTTTGTTATTTGCTTTGTTGTAGTAATTTTCCCCCAGCCTTCCACAGTTATATCTTTGCTTCTTCTAACAATATTTGCTAACAAATACATGCGGTTTGATTTTTACCATATTGTTTTCTACATATTATTTTAGTCATTTTTTCTGTGGCAGAAAAAACAATTTCCCCAGAACATGTGACTTTTTTCTTATACTATTAGGTAAGAAAACTCAAATGAAGATTATTTCTTTGTTATTCAATTTATTGAAAATTTATAAAGTACCAGAATGTTTTTTTTGTGAAAATAATATAAATTTGTGATAGTGTCATAATACCACTTGTGATAATGCAAAAGCACATTATGTGTTTAGGCAATGCATTATTAGCGATAAAAGATGTAATACAGATATTAAATAGTTTTTCTGATAATGTCAGACATTTTTGGCCAACTTGTGTCAGATCTTATTTAACTTGGTCATCGTTGCTTTCAACTTGTAAAATTGCTGATGAAAAGTTTATAGCAATGTGTTATGTAAGCTTCTTTATGCATGTGTTTCTGTGTTTCTGTGTTTCTTACATTATTAGTATTATCTGTAACACATTATTTTTTCATGGAAATCTTTTTAAAGAATATTTTGTCTACCACTTACCTAATAGAGGAAAGTTGGTTTAGTTGAAACTGGGTAAGATGAACCATAAATCTGCCTAACTGAACAGAAAGCTTCAGTGTAGAGGTGAGCAAATGAAACGACTCTCTCACTATATCCTTTCCTTACAGTATAATTTCCAATTATTTCCCAGGATTCTCACAGACCATGCGACGAACTGACATGAGAAATAAATGAATAGCGGTGTCAGTATTTTTATTAAATGGTAGTAAAATATAATTTTAGATTGCAAATACAACAAAAAACGTTAGTGTTTACTTCTTACAGTCCATTAGATAATTTGGTATATTTGCCTGAGTTTCTGCACCTCACGGTCAAGACTCCTGACCTAATAGATCCACTTGGCTCTCTCAGCCCTCCGAAATATGCCTCCAATGAACTTTCAGGCAACCTAATATTCCCCATAAGTGAGAAATAGAAAACCAGCTAAATAGGTCTTTGTGTAATTCTTGAATGTAGCTTGTGTTCTCTCTCTTTTTAACCTGTTCTCAGTTCTTCTCTGTGCTCTGAGGCTGCACCCTTATGTTAAAACTATCAGAAAAATCCCACCTGGACCTCTGCAACACTCTTTTCCTTAGTGGCAGTCATTTTTGCTGCTGAACTCCCTATATTGATAAGTTTTAAATTAGTTTTCATCAGAAATCAAAATAACACTCTTTTATTTGGCACTATGTAAAGTACTTCTTCTCTCATTTAATCCACATAACTAATGATAAGATAAATAGTATATCTGTTTTAAAGAAGAGGAAACTAAATTTCTGTGCTCAAGTTCACATATATGGGAAACAGCAAAGCTAAGATTATAGCTCAGTTCTGATTAAGGCTGAACTTCTTAAATACTATACATAGTGCTTCTTTCTTTATACTTTTCACATACTGCCTTTTCATTATTATAATTATTCATATCACTTGGCAGCTCCCACTATAATCCCAAACACCTTGTTAATTTTTACATTGTTTGTATATGTTATTTTATTTATTCATTTATTTGTCACTTGTGTCATTCTTACTAATATAGTATATTATTTGCATTTCTTTGTTGCCACAAAATTTTCTTTCCATTCATTGCTATCTTTCCATATGTTTTTGTCAAATGGAAGTAAAGTTTATTCTGAAATACAATAAATAATTTGAAAGGTATATTCTTTTTTACTTTTTTAGCTTAATACTTTAAAATTACATGTTACTACTGAATTCTGTCTTTTTATGTATATACTCAATGGAATACTGCTTGTCTACATTTGATACATTGCATTGAAACACTATAGCTTTTCAAATAAAAACCAAAATTTCAACATCCTTTAGCATAAACTTTTATTTCTGATTAAAATGACCCATGGGTTAACATTCAAGTTATATATGGCCACTGTATATAATAGCATCATAATCAAATAGGATGGAAAATAATGATGTTTTCTGTAGTGAAAAAGATTCCCGTGTAGGTGGTACTATCTGATTTTTCTCTGCAGACTCAGTGAATCTTATGGACTTCATCATGTTTAGAGTATTTGTAACACTCCAACTAGCAAGCCATTTTAACCCAAACACTCTATAAATGATTAAAGATTCATTTGTAGTTTTACTTTGGCCCATTAAAATAAATGACTTGGGGGAAATTAACCAAAAACTTAATTATTGCATCCTATCTTTATATAATATTATATTAACCAGGAATCCACTTCTTAGCCCCAGTAATATCCAATAATTCCTATTTACCTTTGACATGGAAGGCTAAAAGTTTCATGGGGGTGAGTAGCAGAACTAAGTTTGGCAGTGCAGAGGTGTCTTGGTATATTCATCACTACAGCAGATGTCTCAAGATGTGACACCACGCAACGAGTTTCAAATGGGTCTAAATTCACTGCCTTTCAGCAGTAGAATATTGGAAGGAAAAGGAATTCTTTACTGTTGGCTTTGTATTGGCAAGTAAAAAAATACGAATTTTAGCCTTTGAAAATTTTGTTACTCATATATACAAACTAGGAAGGCTCAAGTAGTCATACTTTTTTTATTCATGGGAATTGCTCAATACATAATAAAAAACAAAAGTCAGTATAATCGATGTAATGGAAAATATACTTAGCAGAACTTAGGAAAATGTATTTCTTGGGGGAGCTGAAAAATAATATTGCTATTTTTTTTAAAAAGTTGCTTAAATTATGGCTGTTCCCAATCACTGCCTCCACCTAAGATGAGAAATAAAATTCTCATGCAAAGGATAGATACTGGAATTTTATTCTTACATGATAATTTCAGAGGTCACTCTAGATGTATTTTGTAAAAAATAAAATGGATAATTAATTTTAACACCTGACTATTTAAATGAAAAAAGTACAAAAATAAGAAATTTCAGTGATATTTACACAAATATGTATATGTATTATATATCTATGTAACTTAGAACCATTTAAATATGTTCACTTTATTAAATCTTAATAGGTTAGTAAATTGCTTAATTTTCTTCTCAAAAATAAGTATACAGCCATACAGTTTTTGAAGCAACTAAGAGAAATTTCTCAATCTTTTAGTTCTAGACACATTTGGAAGAAAATAAGCCCAGTAATTCTTTCCTCACATAAATCCTTTGATCATATTTTTCTAGAGTTACAGTACTTCAGACATCTGTTTGAAGTTTGAATAATTAGAGAAAATCACATCCAACTTACAAGCTGTGTTTTACTTTCTTCTCAGTTCCATGTACTCTTTCATGTTTGATCAAATCATTCCCTTGTTAAGAAACATTATTTACGAGGTGAAGTTTTGCAATGTTAAATCCATATAGACTGGTTAACCTACCTATATTGGTACAAGTTGTACTAGTACTCTCACCAGCCGTCTCACAAAGAAGAGTGGATAGTCACAGAAAGGATAAATTGATGGACAGATGAGTACCTTAGTGTCCTGATCTCTGTATATGAAGAAAACTTTGTGTTCAAATTTTAGCATTAGGTGAAAAGGTGAATGTGTAGGTATCTTAAATCAAGGAGGCAAAGGCCCTGATTGGTCTATGATCTGATGATTAACAAGTTAATAGTATAATGAATCAGCAGGTCACTCACCTGTGTTAGAGGACTTTATACCTATGCTTCTTAGTATGATAAAAACTGACATTTTGAACTTTTTCATTAGATCATGGTACAATAAGTACGTGACCAAATGTTCCTTCGGAACACTTCAGCCCAATGGCCTTTGGTCACCTAACTTGATTTTCTTATTAACGAATCCTAACATTTATCTTGGACCTACAAACCTGTAAAACAAAATCTTACCAGATTTTGCCACCTTATAGTATGGAGAAGAGGAATGCTTGGTGGTCAGGGGAGGGATCATCACTGCATCATCATTGATAAATTATGATCAAATCCTGTGAGGAGTATGGAGGAAAGAGACCAAGAAGACAGAGGCAGGAGGGAGAAGGGGTAAAACATATTACTGAAGAAAGAAGGAAAACGTGAACACAGGAGCCTCATAAAAGGGATTGTAGGGTAGGTATTTTGTTATTTATGTGTGATAGTCTTCTGTCTAATGCATCCTAACTTCCTTTTTCATATATGTCTGGTCCTAATCTTATTTTTGTAAAACATCATTAGAACCTTCAGAATCTATTGAATAAAATTATAATTTATCCTTTATTATATAAATTGTTATATATAACAACAGTAATATTTCTTCTGTATCTCTATAGTTTTGTTACATTGTTATGTTTTATAATATATGCAGACACAAAGAATACAAATGAGTCCATCAAACTGTGATTATGAAAGATCATTTTCTTGACCTTTTATTCACAAGAAGCTTAGATATTCCACTCTATGCTTATGGTGTTTACTGTGATTTAGTGAAACTTGGGAAAGAAGACAAGGAAAGACATAGAAAGCATAGAAAGCAGAGCATGTTTTGATGGACTCAAAAACATGCTCTGGCATTGTGTGGGATGTGAGAAAATGGAAATATCCCTCCACTATAACCATCCAGAAAGATTTTATTAAAAGACCACTTTGACTATGCTTACCTCTCCAACATGTAGCTCTTAAGAGAAGGGAACCAAGTTTTTGGATGCTCTTTAGCCCTACTACTATAGCCTCCTAACTGCAAATAAGTAACCCTTTCCTTCAAAGACATTTGAAGTGGTCCAGGGAAACTAATTCTTGATAAACAAAAGAGTAAGCATTGCTTTTTGGACTATGTCATGAAAAATACATCAGACTGCTTTTTTAAAATTGAGTTATGTTGCAAATTCAGCAAAAACATTTTACCCTATTATGTGTTCAAGATACAACTCTAACCATTCATAATAAAGACAGACATGGAGATGAAATGAATATGAAATGAATAGCAAGCCAACAACTTTTACATATGAGAACTCTGTAAGTAAAAAAGGAGGATGAGGGGAAGGAGGTGGAGAAGGTAGAAGAGAAAAGGAAGGAAGGAAGAAAAGCAAAAAGGAAAGAAGGCACTAAAGAAGAGGGATGTTTTTGCATGTTTGTTGTTTCTTACCCAACCTGACACCTGTTCATTTTGTCTGTAGATAGGTTGGAGCCCATGCCTACACACCCAATAAAAAGTGGAGTGGAGTTGAGGTGACCTCATAGACCAGCATCAAATAAACATGTCCTTTTGCAGCTCTTCTTCTGGTCTCTTCCTCTCAGACGGGTGTGAGATTTTTTGATGTTCTCCTTTAAACATGGAAACTACCTGGATCAGCTGGGTCTCATTTTACTCATAGGTTTTTAAAATTTCGACTTATGCAAAAAGTTTTTATGTTGAATATTTTTAAGGCCTCTCTGATTCTCAAATCAAATTGTCATCATGACCATAATATAGGAAAGCAGCTCAAGCCCCCAATTTGCCTATTCTGTGTCTCACCTCCCTGGAAAGCCTATGTTTCCATTCACAAAGCTATTGTTCTGGTTGAAGAGAGTTGACTTTGAAATTCTGTGAATGTAAAAATCCAAGTGTTTTCTAAGTCAGAGGATGTTTGTAAGTGATATTTGTTAAGTATCTCAAGGTAGGATGCTGAAGATAAATGTGATTAATAACTCTACAGAAATAATAGCTATTTCTCTTTTACCGAAGCCGTGAGTCATACTGATTGTGTTACTTTTTTTTTTTACAGTTTATAATTCTAAGCATTCTATTCAAGTGATACAGCATTATAAAATTAACCTTAATACCAAGTGTAGTGTTTTACATTTTTAAAATGTCTTTTAAAAACAATGCCTTGTTTGAATCTCTCTCAGAAAAAACAAAGTTCCTTGGTGGTAGGTGGGGTAAATATCGCTGTGGCCCCATAATGATACATGCTTGCTTCAGTTAATTTTCCGACATCCCATAAAGTCTGGTAGAAGCCCATCCTCTTATTTTTTTTCTTTCTTTCCCTGTTGAATTCTATCCTAAAGTATAATGAGAAATTCTGTTTTTGAGGGAAAATGATACTGAAATGTAAACAGAATCTTAATGGACTAAGAATGCCATTGCAAATTGACACTTAAACTAAGATTAAATGAGAACTAACCTTATTTAATATGTGTTAACTATTTTCTTTTCTTTTTGCCCATTCAAAGATTTATTTAAAACAATACTGGCTTACAGTCAAATACATTTTCTATAATTTTTCCCTGCTCATAATAGTTATTAGTGAGTAATGGAGAGACCATTTTATTAGTTTAATCATGTTAAGTTTTCCTGTATCTTTTCCTCCCTGCTAGGAAAAGGAAGATGACAAATCAGACACCTCAAGTTCTCAACAGCCTAAAAGCCCACAAGGTCTGAGTGACACAGGATATTCTTCTGATGGCATATCAGGGTCACTTGGTGAAATTCCAAGTCTTATTCCAAGTGATGAAAAAGATTTGCTCAAAGGTCTCAAAAAGGACTCTTTTTTACAAGAAAGCGGTCCCTCCAGCCCCTCAGATTTGGCTAAGTTGGAAAGTACTGTCCTATCCATTTTGGAAGCCCAGGCAAGTACACTGGTTGAAGAAATGTCAGGAAAGAAAACACAACCTCAAATGGTTTCTCCTGAGCAGCCTAAGGATGATGAGCAGAAGACTCAGGGATTAAGTGAAACATTGGAAACTATAATTTCAGAAGAGAAGCTCAAAGAGAGTCGAGAAGAAAAAGATACTTTTACAAAAGATGGTCAAAAAGATGCTCCTTCCAGAAAGGACCACAAAGAAAAGTCTGAGTTTGTTGATGACATAGCTACAAGAAGACAGCTTTATGATTCAGTTGAAGACAGTAGCGAAAGTGAAAACTCACCTGTTCCACAAAGAAAACGGAGAACTAGTATCGGTTCATCAAGCAGTGACGAGTATAAACAGGAAGATAGTCAAGGATCAGGTGAAGAGGAGGACTTTATCCGCAAACAGATCATAGAAATGAGTGCTGATGAAGATGCTTCAGGTTCTGAAGATGACGAGTTCATTAGGGACCAGCTCAAAGAGATCAGTAGTACTATTGAGAGCCAGAGGAAGGAAGAAACAAAAGGGAAAGGGAAAGTAACAGCAGGGAAACACAAGCGACTGACTCGAAAAAGTAGCACAAGCTTTGATGATGATGCAGGGAGACGCCATTCATGGCATGATGAAGATGATGAGACATTTGATGAAAGTCCTGAAATTAAATACAGAGAAACTAAAAGTCAGGAGAGTGAAGAACTTGTCGTTGCTGGTGGAGGAGGGCTACGTCGATTTAAAACGATTGAACTCAACAGCACAATTGCAGATAAATATTCTGCAGAATCATCACAGAAAAAAACAGCATTGTATTTTGACGAAGAGCCAGAATTAGAAATGGAAAGCCTGACAGACTCACCAGAAGATAGGTCAAGAGGGGAAGGATCTTCTAGTCTTCATGCTTCCAGCTTCACTCCTGGCACATCCCCTACATCGGTGTCATCACTTGATGAGGACAGTGACAGTAGCCCGAGTCACAAAAAAGGAGAGAGCAAACAGCAACGCAAAGCTCGGCACAGATCTCATGGTCCTCTTTTACCTACTATTGAAGATTCTTCAGAGGAAGAAGAATTGAGAGAGGAAGAAGAATTATTGAAGGAGCAAGAAAAGCAGCGGGAATTAGAACAGCAACAAAGAAAGAGTTCTAGTAAAAAATCAAAGAAAGACAAAGATGAACTTCGAGCTCAGAGAAGGAGGGAAAGACCAAAGACACCACCCAGTAATCTCTCTCCCATTGAGGATGCGTCTCCAACAGAAGAACTGCGTCAGGCTGCAGAAATGGAGGAGCTCCATCGATCTTCTTGTTCTGAATATTCACCCAGCATAGAGTCAGATCCAGAAGGTTTTGAAATAAGCCCAGAAAAAATAATAGAAGTGCAAAAAGTTTATAAATTGCCCACAGCTGTGTCTTTATACTCACCGACGGATGAACATTCTATTATGCAGAGAGATGGTGGCCAAAAGGTATTAAAAAGTGCTGAGGAGATATATGAAGAAATGATGCATAAAACCCACAAATATAAAGCTTTTCCAGCTGCAAATGAACGAGATGAAATATTCGAAAAGGAGCCTTTGTATGGTGGGATGCTAATAGAAGATTACATTTATGAATCTTTAGTAGAGGACACATACAATGGTTCAGTTGATAGCAGTCTGCTAACAAGGCAAGAAGATGAAAATGGGTTTATGCAGCAGAGAGGGAGAGAGCAAAAAATAAGACTTCCAGAACAGATTTATGATGATCCTATGCAGAAAATTACAGACCTCCAGAAAGAGTTTTATGAGTTAGAAAGCTTACATTCTGTTGTGCCTCAAGAAGACATTGTTTCAAGTTCTTATATTATCCCAGAAAGCCATGAGATAGTGGATCTGGGTAGTATGGTAACTTCTACCAGTGAAGAAAAAAAATTACTAGATGCTGATGCTGCCTATGAAGAACTCATGAAGAGGCAACAGATGGAGTTAACACCTGAATCCAGTCCAACCCAGCCCCCCATCAGGGATGACATGACAGAGTCCACTATGGACTTTGATAGGTTGCCCGATGCATCTTTGACATCAAGTATTCTTTCAGGAGCATCTCTTACAGATTCAACCAGCAGTGCAACACTCTCTATTCCAGATGTTAAAATAACCCAACATTTTTCAACAGAGGAAATTGAAGATGAATATGTAACCGATTATACAAGAGAAATTCAAGAGATAATTGCCCATGAATCATTTATTTTGACATACCCTGAGCCTTCAGAAAGTGCTACAGCTTTTCCACCCTCTGACACCCCTTCCCTCACATCATCTGTTTCTTCAGTTTGTACCACAGATAGCTCCTCACCCATCACCACCCTTGATAGCATAACCACAGTTTATACAGAGCCAGTAGACATAGTAACTAAGTTTGAAGATTCTGAGATTTCTTCATCAACATACTTTCCAGGCAGCATTATAGACTATCCAGAAGAAATAAGTATATCTTTAGATCAGACTGCCACACCAGATGGTAGAACTAGTGCTGATCATATTGAGATTTCATTATCTGATATGCTACCCTCTGTCTTAGAATCTGAAGAAACTAAACCCAAGGGGCTAATTGCTGATACCATTTCCACTGACTTATCTATACCTGAAAAAGACCCAGCGAAGAAAGCAAAGAAGGAAACTGGGAATGGAATTATTCTGGAAGTTTTGGAAGCTTACAGAGATAAGAGGAAGGAGTCAGAGGTTGAACTAACAAAAATTAGCTTATCTGAAACTGTGTTTGATCAACCACCTTCTGGAATAGTCCTTCCAATGAAGGAACAAGTTTCAACTGCATGCTTTATATCTGAAGAAGTCTTTGGTCAAGCAAAACCTGCATCTCAGTTACCACCTGGAAGTCCTTCTGTTTCCTCTCTTCCAACTAATACACGTGTATTCTTACGAAGTTCTTCTTTGGACATATCAGCTCAGCCTCCTCCCCCTCCTCCTCCACCCCCACCCCCTCCTCCACCTCCACCTCCTCCTCCTCCCCCACCGCTTCCTCCACCAACCTCACCTAAACCCGCTATTCATCCTAAAAAAAAGTTAACAGTTACAGCTCCAGTGACTCTAACTATGACAGCTATACCTCTAGTTGACACTGTTACTCCTGAAGAGACCACAGTTGTTCCAAGGAGTAATGGGTTACCTGTAACAAAAATATGTACCACTGCACCTCCACCTGTTCCCCCTAAGCCATCTTCAATTCCATCTGGACTTGTATTTACACATAGACCTGAGCCTAGCAAACCTCCCATTGCCCCTAAACCATCAGTTCCACAGCTTCCAGTAACTACACAAAAACCAATAGAAATGCACCCCAAACCAACAGGTCTACCTTCAACTTCAAATATGACATTAAATTTAGTCACCACAGCAGATTATAAATTGCCTTCCCCTACTTCTCCACTTTCCCCTCACTCTAACAAGTCCTCACCAAGATTTTCCAAATCCCTCATGGAAACTTACGTGGTTATCACACTGCCATCTGAACCTGGGACTCCAACAGATTCTTCAGCTAGTCAAGCAATTACCAGTTGGCCCCTGGGATCACCCTCCAAAGATCTCATGGCCATTGAACCAGTGTTTTCTGTAGTTCCTCCTGTGACAGCTGCAGAAATTTCACACCCATCAGAACAGAGCCTCTACATTTCAGGAGCTTTGGAGACATTTTCTGCTCTTCCTATCACAACACTATCTTCGTGTCAAGCAGCTCCAAGTTCAGTTACACAGTTTCTTACAACTGAAGTCTCTAAGGCTGAGGTTTCAGCAGCCAGAAGTACAGTCCCTAGTGTTGGTCTCGGCAGTGTCTGTATAACAATTCCTCCAGAGCCTCTTGCTTTAGACAACCTAAATTTAGAAAAGCATCAGCATAAAGAAGATGGAAAGTTACAACTTATCGGTGATGCCATTGATTTACGTACAGTACCAAAAGTGGAAATTAAAGTAACTGAAAAGTGTATGGATCTTTCTGCTTCTACAATGGATTTGAAAAGGCAGACTACAACAAATGAAGCTTATGGGAGACAGATCAGTGCTGTCCAACCCTCTATTATAAATCTCAGTGCAACTTCATCAGTAGTGACTCCAGCATCCCTGGTCACTGAGACAGTGACTGCTGCCACATGCACAGTTGGTGCAAGTTACACTGCAGGCACAGAAAGCTTTGTGGGTATAAGACATGCAACAACAACACCACTTCAGCTTACTACATCAAAGCATACTGAGCTCCCATACAGGATACCAAGTGGCCAGTCTTTTCCTACAGTTAGGCAGGAAGCACCAATAAACTTATCTTTAGGTACTTCAGCACATGCAATGGCACTGGCTACTACAAAGCCTGTTACTGTGCCTCCTGTTGGTGTGACAAATGGATGGAGTGATAGCACCACATCCCAGGGAATCACTGATGGAGAAGTAGTGGATCTCAGTACAACAAAGTCTCATAGAACTGTTGTAACAGTGGATGAATCTACTTCAAGTGTGGTGACCAAAATAATAGAAGATGATGAAAAACCTGTTGATCTGACTGCAGGGAGAAGAGCTGTGTGCTGTGATGTGGTTTATAAGTTACCTTTTGGAAGGAGCTGCACAGCACAGCAGCCTGCAACTACTCTACCTGAGGATCGTTTTGGTTATAGGGATGACCACTATCAGTATGATCGATCAGGGTCATATGGATACAGAGGGATTGGGGGAATGAAGCCTTCCATGTCTGACACTAACTTAGCAGAAGCTGGACATTTTTTCTATAAAAGTAAGAATGCTTTTGATTATTCAGGAGAAACTGATGCAGCAGTAGATCTAACTTCAGGGAGAAGTTCTGCAGGTCAGTATGATGTGGCATCAGACCTTTCCTTGAAATATCATTATGGTGTCCCTCATCTCATATCAGGATGAAAATGCCCTCCCTTTTCCATTTTGTTACTTTTTTCTCTTTCTTTGGATATTTTGGCAACATATTTTGAAGTCCATGTGCACCTTTTATTTCTTCTTTTTTAAAAAATTTGTTCTGCCCAAAGTCACCTGCATGTGCCTGCATGTTCAACATTGCTTTTATTCAGCATTTAATTAGGTTAACCAGTGAATTTGCATGCAGTCCCATTCATTATGTTCATCAAGATTGAGCGCTCTTTCAAACCCCAAAACCATCATTCATTCTGAGAACCGGACTGTAACTCTACCCTGTATTTCAGGTGAGGTAATGGATTATTCAAGCAAGACTACAGGTCCGTATCCAGAAACACGACAAGTCATTTCAGGAGTTGGGATTAGTACCCCGCAGTATTCCACAGCAAGAATGACCCCACCTCCAGGACCCCAGTATGGTGTGGGAAGTGTTTTGAGGTCAACTAACGGCATTGTCTATTCTTCAGTGGCAACTCCAATCCCCTCCACATTTGCTATCACCACACAACCTGGTTCCATTTTCAGCACCACTGTGAGGGATCTGTCTGGTGTGCACACAACTGATGCAGCGACTTCATTATCCACCCTGCACCAGAGCCAGCCAATGCCTAGATCATATTTCTTAACAACAGGTGCATCTGAAACAGACATTGTAGTAACTGGTATTGATATCAATGCCAGTCTGCAAACTATTACTATGGAAACTCTTACTGCTGAGACAATAGACTCAGTTCCCACTTTAACCACAGCATCTGAAGTGTTTTCTGATGTGGTGGGAGATGAAAGTGCTATTTTAATTGTCCCTGAAGAAGATAAACAACAGCAGCAACTAGACCTGGAGCGTGAGCTCTTGGAACTGGAGAAAATTAAGCAACAGCGTTTTGCTGAGGAGTTGGAGTGGGAACGTCAAGAAATTCAAAGGTTCCGGGAACAAGAAAAGATCATGGTTCAGAAAAAGCTGGAGGAACTGCAGTCTATGAAGCAGCACCTTCTCTATCAGCAGGAAGAAGAACGTCAAGCCCAGTTCATGATGAGGCAGGAGACGTTAGCTCAGCAGCAGTTACAGCTGGAGCAGATCCAGCAGCTGCAGCAACAGCTTCACCAGCAGTTAGAGGAGCAAAAAATTCGCCAGATCTACCAGTATAACTATGATCCTTCTGGAACTGCTTCTCCACAAACCACAACAGAGCAGGCAATGTTGGAAGGTCAGTATGCTGCCCCAGAAGGCAGTCAGTTTTGGGCAGCTGAAGATGCAACCACTACCGCCTCAGCCGTTGTGGCAATTGAAATACCACAAAGCCAAGGATGGTACACGGTTCAGTCTGATGGTGTTACTCAGTACATTGCCCCACCTGGCATCCTGAGTACAGTTTCAGAAATACCTTTAACAGACGTTGTTGTAAAAGATGAAAAACAACCCAAAAAGAGAAGTTCTGGAGCTAAAGCCCGTGGACAGTATGATGAGGTAGGGGAAAATATGGCAGAAGATCCCCGCTGTTTTAAAAAGATAGTAGACAGTGGTGTTCAAACTGACGATGAAGACGCGGCAGATCGGAGTTACACGAGTAGGAGAAGGAAAACTAAAAAGAGCGTTGACACAAGTGTCCAGACTGATGATGAAGATCAGGATGAATGGGATATGCCCACTAGATCAAGGAGAAAAGCCCGTGTGGCAAAGTATGCTGACAGCACTGCAGAGGCTGAGAAGACCAAACCCCTTTCCAAAGTCTCCAGCATAGCAGTTCAAACAGTGGCAGAGATATCTGTGCAAACTGAACCGGTTGGAACCATACGAACACCTTCGATACGGGCACGCGTGGATGCCAAGGTAGAAATAATTAAACACATTTCAGCACCTGAAAAGACTTACAAAGGGGGCAGTTTAGGATGTCAAACAGAAGCAGATTCAGACACACAGAGTCCTCAATATCTGAGTGCCACATCTCCACCCAAAGACAAGAAACGCCCAACACCTTTAGAGATTGGTTATTCATCTCACCTTCGGGCAGATTCCACACTACAGCTGGCTCCTTCCCCACCCAAATCTCCAAAAGTCCTTTATTCACCCATCTCACCACTTTCACCAGGCAAAGCCTTAGAATCAGCCTTTGTACCTTATGAAAAACCCCTCCCTGATGATGTAAGTCCACAGAAAGTACTGCATCCAGATATGGCTAAAGTTCCCCCAGCGAGTCCTAAGACAGCCAAGATGATGCAGCGGTCCATGTCTGACCCCAAGCCTCTGAGTCCAACAGCAGATGAAAGTTCCAGGGCTCCTTTTCAGTATACCGAGGGCTACACGGTAAGAGTGATTCTTTTCAGTTAGAAGACAATGGATGAGTTGATGTTAACCATGTCTTTGCAGACTTTAGGAAGCAATAAAGCTCCTGGTACCTAGGAACCTAATACTAGATTTCAGTGAGTATTATTTCACTAGTAATTTGGGGAAGGAATAGAAATGTATACATTCCCACAAAAAGAAATACTATTTTGTGAGGCAAGATGAGAAAGAAGTTTATTATTTTACAACTTACTGAGATCGAAAGTTTTGTTCTAATTTGAATCTCCCAGATGTTTATTGTAGACTGCTATTTCAATGAATATAATTAATATTCATATCCAATGACAGCATAAACATTGCATATAAACACGGCAAAGATGACCATAAATTTAGACTCATGGATACTGGAATTCTTAGTGGGAAGGTTTTTGGAGATGATCTAATTGGTCTCTTCTTCCTCCAGCTGAAATGTCTTTATAAAACGGCTTAGGGTATTTGCTGCTCAAAAGAGAACAAGGTGGGGGGAGGCAGAGACAAATGTATTTAAAAAGTAAATAAATTAAAAAAAAAAACATTTCTGAGGCAGGCAGGTGAATGTGTCATATAATCTTCATAGTTCATCCATGCTTCTTTTGATTCTGACAACTGTCTTAATCTAACCTCAGGTAAGCATTAGGCCTGGTGCTTATAGAAGCAAAAAAAAAATATGTTTATTTGAATAATAAAAATTAATATTAGTTATTTAGTAACATATATGTATGCATCAAAGGGAAAAGAACATAAGTAGATATGTGGAACACATTTATGAAGAGCTCTATAGCTAATAATGTTAATAATGAGGCATAATAGTAAATATATCCTATTTAAAATCTAATATATATTCCTTTAGAAGGTTATTATTAAATATAATTGCTCAATTTAAAAGATTCCTTTAATGCACTGGTTTCTGAACTCTAGGTCTTTAAATCCTGAAACTTCTAAATTAAGTTTTTCTGAAATACTGCTATATTTCCCCTGACCTATAAACAAGGTGGAACAAAAGTAGGTTTATAGTTGTGAATATGCAAAACATGGTGTTTATTTCTGTATTATTATTTATTAACTATTTTATTATTTTCCACACAAACAAGTATAAGCCTACTTTTGCCCCACCCTCTGTATTAAACGTTGGCTGTCAACTGAAAAATATGCCATTACATATTTATACATACATAGAAATATAAATAGACATATAAATAAATTACAAATTCATGTTTAAGTTTTCTAGTTTTATAGTGGCATTTTTTTACTATGTACTTTCTCAAACAGTACATCCTAAATGTAAAACTGTTTTCATATGGAGGACAGAAGTCATAACTTTTAAGCCAAGGAACTACTGGTACATTGAGATTTCACTCAATTTGCAGATAATTACTTTATGTGTAACTTTGTTTCTGGAATTAAATCTGTTGTAAGATGTTATTGTAACTCAGTTATAAAATATAGGTATTTTTAGAGCTGTGGCCTGTAAGTTCACCTGTAAAAGTTACTCGGAAAACTGGGTAAATGTGTTTTCTAATAGGATCTGAAAATAATGTTCAAGGCTTCTGTCATTAGAAAGAATAGGTTTTCCAGTTCATGTATTGATCATTTACTTAATATGTAGCCCAGTATTCTTAATTCAAATCAACTTAGTTAAGGAAGAGATTCAAGTTTCCTCCCAGTATTCGCTTTGGACTTGGAAATATGAAACAACAGCTACAATGGGTTGTATTGTATCAGTAATATTAACTATTAAATCATAAAAGAAGTTGAGTAGAATTACTAAATACTAACCTGACACTGAAAAATTCTAGGTGTATTGAGCCTTGGAACATAATTCAATAGCTCATTTTTCTAATTGGTCAAACTCAGCACATGCTTTAATGTGGAAAAATTGTATACAAATTCAAAGATACCATTTTACTGCACATATGCAAGGCAGGCCATTTTATATACAGGCAAAGTTTTTAGCACTTTAGATACTTTGATTCTAGAATGTGAATTTTACAATCCTTTTCTTTGTAAATTTCTAGTCATACTTTGAGTCTCTTTTAAACTAAGTTAATGTTTTAAATTATAAGCCTGGTTTATTAAGTATAAGATGTACTGAAAAGAATAATCTTTTAAGTGATATTCACAGTGATATCAGCTTAAGAAGTCTAGCTCAGTAGTGTACATATTGTCAATTTTCTCAGACCAATGAAGCTGAAAAAATTACACCATTCAGTTAGAATTGAGACAACACAGTAACATATAATACAGCGTGAAAGATAAGTTTTATACTATATGAGACTCTGTGGTAAGATCTCCTCTTCCTGGAAGTGTCAGGAAGATGAATATGAGATTTCTGTTGGACCATGAAGAGAAAAATGATGATCATTCTAAATAGAGGGAACAAAATGTGTGAAAGTTCAGATTGGTGAGGAGATTGTAAAGCAAAGAGGAGGAGAAAGATGTTTACTGTAAATGAAACTGGAAATTTACAAAGGAGCGGGTTGCAGGGGATCTAATTTGCTTTAGAGTTCAGATTTACTTCCCTTGGCTGCAGAGAGCCTAGATCGAAGTCTAGATCAAACCATCATTTTTTAATTTACACTGTGCACTAGCCCTTGGACTCCCTCTACTCTTTACTTTCTTACAGTCAGTTCTCTCAACTGCATCTAGGGTGATTTTCTGAAATATACATCAGGTTAGATCATACATTCTAAAGCTTAAACACTGAGAGATTTTTATCAAAGTCAGAATATATATCAGAAATTTCTTAACAAGGACTCACGTGATCTGGTCTCTGCCTGTCTCACAACCTCATTTTGTCATTTAAAGCATTTGCTTCCCCTCACAGCCCCCCACACCTTCTCCTCTGCACCAGTGACTGACCTTGCCCTTTTTTCCTTCATTGGATGTGCCAACCTCATCCTCACCTGGGACCCATGTCTGGATTTCTCTGTCCCCAGATCTTTGCTTGGCTAACTCTGGTGTACAGGTTTCTGCTTAAATTTCACTCCCACAGAGAGGCTGTCTTTACTTCATTCTTTAAATGAGTCAACCTATCACCATGGATCCCTGTATTTATATATTTCTCATTTGTATATATTACTTATTAATCAAATATCTTTCATGAGGCAGAACACAACATCTACAACAGTGGGAATTTTGCTTTGTTTGCTGCTATAGTTCCAAGTGCCTAGAACAAAGTAGGCCCTCAGCATTTATTGAAAAAATGTGTTAAAGGAACCAGTAGAGATATAGAGGCAATGGTATAAAGCACTCACCTTTTAGTTTCCACAATCTAGACCCATCCTAGCCAGTCTTGTTGATAATCTAATATCTCCTTTGCTTAAAATGTCAATTCTACTTTATTGTTATGTAGACATCTGAAACACTGAACACTAGTTGAAGTATATTTAGCTATTAGTCCAGCCACCTTACAAATTAGGAACAAAGTCCAAAATAGGCTGTTGACTTTATCATGGTTCCTTTTTTTTCTTGTCTCATGGTCTTTTTTTATTGCTTATTCTATTACAGTTGTCCCAATTTTTTTCCTTTTGCTCCCCTCCACCAAGGCCACCCCTCTCTCTCACAGTCAGTCCCCTCTCCATTGTTCCTGTCCGTGAATCATTCATGCATATTCTTTGGCTAATCCCTTCCCCTTCCTTCCACTCTTCCCCCTTCTCGCTCCTGTCTTACAGCTATCTGTTCCATGGTTCCATGTCTCCAGTTCTATTTTCCTTCTTAGTTTATTTTGTTCATTAGATTCCAGTTATAAGTGAAGTCTTAAGGTATTTGTCTTTCACTGACTGGCTTATTCCACTCAGCATAATAGTCTCCAGTTACATCCATGCTGTCGCAAAAGGTAGGACTTCTTTCTTTCTGATCCATAGTATTCCATTGTGTAAATGTACCACAGTTTTTTAATCCATTCATCTGCTGATGGGCACTTAAGCTGTTTCCAATACTTGGCTATTGTAAATAGCGCTGCTATGATCATAAGGGTGCATAAGTCCTTTAGAATTGGCGTTTCAGGATTCTTAGGGTATATTCCCAGCAGCAGAATGGCTGGGTCAAAAGGCAGTTCTATTTTTAGCTTTTTGACAAAATTCCAAACTGTTTTCCACAGTGGCTGCACCAGTCTGCATTCCCACCAACAGTTTCCTAGGGTTCTCTTTTCTCCACATCCTCGCCAGGTCTTGTTGTTTCTGCATTTATTAATGATGGTCACTCTGACAGGTGTGAGGTGATACCTCATTGTGGTTTTAATTTGCTGATGGCTAGTGATATTGAGAATTTTTTCATATGTCTCTTGGATATCTGAATGTCCTCCTTGGAGAAGTGTCTTTAAGTTCCTTTGCCTATTTTTTAATTGGGTTGTTTGTCTTCCTGATGTTGAATCCTATGAGTTCTTCCTATATTTTGGAGATTAAACCCTCATCTGATGTATCATTGGCAAAAATGTTCTCCCATACTGTCCGTTTCTTTTTCATTTTGATGATGGTTTCTTTGGCCGTGCAGAAGCTTTTTAATTTGATGTAGTTCCATTTCTTTATTTTTTCCTTTATATCTCTCACCCTAGGAGATATACCGGCAATAATATTGCTATGTGGGATGTCTGAAATTTTACTGCTTATGTTTTCCAGTATCACTTTTATGGTATCATGATTTATATTTCAGTCCTTTATCCATTTTAAGTTTATTCTGGTATATGATGTAAGTTGGTGGTCTAATTTCATTTTTTTTTTTGGCATGTACCAGTCCAGTTCTCCCAACACCATTATTGAAGAGACTGTTTTTACTCCATTGTATGCTCGTACCCCCTTTGTCGAATATTAAATGACAATAGAGACATGGGGTTATTTCTGGGCTGTCTGTTCTGTTCCATTGTTCTATGTGTCTGTTCTTCTGCCAGTACCAGACTGTCTTGATTACAGTGGCCTTGTAATATAGTTTGATATCAGATATTGTGATCCCTCCAACTTTGTTCTTTCTCAGGATGGCTGAGGCTA